CCCCCCCGGCCTCCAGCCCGCGCCTCTCGCGGCCCACGCAACTGCAGCGGCCCCATGACAGCAGGCGGCTCTTTCTCATGGCGCAGTCCGTGATGTGCGCAGCATGCACAATGTGCATGGCGAATGCACGCGTGGCGTGGCGTGGCGTGGCGGGGCGTGGCGTGGCGGGGCGCGGCGAGGGGCATCCATTTTCTACAGATGGTACTCCGCCCCGCCTGAGGCGAGCCGCGGCGGGGCGGAGCGGGGCGAGTCCGCAGCCCAGGCCCCCCCAAGGGGGGAAGCAGCAAGCACTCACTAATGAATGATATATGCGGGAGGCCCAGGCGGACGGAATGAATCTTAATCGCGAGACAAATAATGCGGCAGCCTCCTTGTGCTTAATCCCGCTCTGCTCTCCCGAGTCGGAGCGGGGGAGGAGAAGAGCAGAGCGGGCGAGTTTTCATAATAATGCCTCTTATTTCGGGCAGCCGCATAACAACAGTCGTCCGCCCGCTCCGCGCTGCGGCAGCTGCGGTTGCGGCGGCGGCTGTGTTTTAACGTCTAAAAGAGGCGTATATGCGAAAAAGACCCGGCGGACTTTTATTATTTTTTATTTCCCTTTTACTCCGAGTCGCGTGGAGAAAATGAAACGGTCGTTGCCGCACAACCCCAGCCCGGCCGCCCCCCGCAACAACGGCCTCTCTCCCCCGCATTTATGACGCGGGTCTGCTTTGCGAACCGTCAACATAAATTACGTAACGCTGCACTCTCATGGCAAGTCTCTGTAGTCGCACTCTAGTCCACCGTGAATACAAAACGTGCTCAATGCCCCTCATAAAATATAGAAAAGCCAGTTTATTTTGTTTCCACATATCAAAGCTTTAAAAGTCCAGATTTTGTGGTTACCCGTGCAGCTCTCATAGCGCCTGACGGGTAGGCAATATCTTGCCTGCCGTGCATGCGTGTACAGCGGGGTGGTATACCCCGTATCTCGCAGGCGCCGAGCTTCCGCATTACGCTGAATAATCTGAAAATAACGTAAGTACTCTCTGAGCCGTGGGAACTACGGAAAACCACGCTCCAGACAACTGTGCGGCTTTGTTCACAATTATATGCTGTTTTTCTGCCAGCAGTGAGGAGGAAATGCGGCCCGGGGACAGTGACGCAGGCGACGGCACCGGCTCACACGCCGACGGCTACATGCGCGCCGCAGACTGTCTAACGCGGATGTAAAGCCCCATCCCTCGCACACGGGCAGCGGCAGCAGCGCCAGGAAATAAAAGTGGAAACGGCTCTCGGCGGGCGCGCGGCGGGCGCGAGCGCGCGGCGGGAGCAGCTCAGATTTGAGGGTGTTCAAGTGTTCCAGTCGTCATCTCCAGGCCAGTCACGATCCTCCTCGAGCCTCGCCTTGGCCCGCCCCGGCACCCGGCGCCATACACGAACACATCACATCGCCGGCCAGCAAAGCCCCCCCTCCCCACTACCGCTTCTTCCTTTGGTTCTTCTTCCTCTGACCCTCCTCTTCCTTTTGTTCTTCCTCGTTCTTATTCCTCTTACTCTCCCCTTCCTTTGATTCCTCCACTTCTTCCTCCTCTTCCCTTCCGCCCACCCGGACCCGCACATTCGCTCCGCTCCGCTCAAACCCCACGCGCAGCCAAGCAAGCTCGGGAGCGCCTGCGAACGGCCAGGTAGGAAAGCCCGCCCGACACGCGTGTCGAGCGCTGTGTAGACTCGCGACGCGAGTGACGGAGTCGGAAGTAGTCAGAGACGGAGCGAGTTATTTTCCACGTGGAAGAGAGGCGTGGCGCGAGAAACAATAAGTAAAGTGGGCTTTAGACGATGTACGAAGAAAACCACACTCAAAGTGTTTTTTACGTTGCACATTATGATGAGAAATCTGGCCAGAACGACTGCCACAACAAGAGATTCAGTTGACCTGCTTCCGTAAAGTGTCGCAAATAGCGGCACTGAATGGCAAATGACAAGGGGGTAAGGGACGAAGGTTCAGAAGGAGGTCAAACTGGAGCCACATACAAGTCAGCCTCAGCCGGAGAGGAGGAAAATGAGGGATGGAGAGGGTGGCATAGCAGTCCTCTGCGACAAGACAGGCAGCAGCAGCGTCTTTACTCCGCGTGCAGGAGAGAGAGAGGAGAGCGAGAAGAGAGAGAGAAGAGAGAGAAGAGAGAGAAGAGAGAGAAGAGAGAGAAGAGAGAGAAGAGAGAGAGAAGAGAGAGAAGAGAGAGAGAAGAGAGAGAAGAGAGAGAGAGA